ACACACACACACACACACACACACACACACACACACACACACACACACACACTGTTTAGAGTCTGGTTACCAGATGTTTTTGTCACTCATGGAGTGCTAAGGGGCTTGGGATTCCCAGGCTGAGCGATCTGCTCTTTTGTTTTGCCCTTAATTCGCAAACCTCATTTCATGTTTGTGGTGATGGGGCCACCATTGGCCAAGTGAGGCTCAAATGTGGAGAACAGTGACTCCCATTCATCCCGAGTCCTCCATAATGCACAGAGTCAGTACAGAACCGAAGAGCTACCTGTTATGCCCCCGGGGCAGACCAGAATCTGTAAACCTTGCTAGGGTGGGACTAAGGGGCGGGGACAAGAGGCGGTGAGGTGTGGTGTGACTTCCCATCCACTTGCGAGCTACACCAAGCTCATGGTGGGAGGGCCAGGGCATTACTTCCTGAGGTGCTCAGCACACCTACTGGGGTCCCCCTACTAAATTCTCTTTGTTGGGAAGAAAAATAAGTCTAAGTTTATTAAGCATCTATTTGTTAATTTTATGATCTCATTTAATCTTTGCCTTTATCTTTCTGCCCACTTAACGACTGGGTACGGTGAGGCTCCAGATTAAACACAGCGAGTAAGTAGTCAAACTGTTCAGCTCTTTCTACTCTGCCAGGTTATCTGCCCAGCCACAGGTTCTTGTGGGGACAAGGCTCTTGTGGGTGTTACAGCTCAGATTACCTTGTATTTAAAACCAGCAGTTTGGGGCACCTGGGTGGCTCAGTGGGTTGAGCCTCTGCCTTTTGCTCTGATCATGATCTCAGGATCTTGGGATCGAGCCCCACATCGGGCTCTCTGCTCAGCGGGGAGCCTGCTTCCCTTCCTCTCTCTCTGCCTGCCTCTCTGCCTACTTGTGATCTCACTTTCTTTTTCAAACAAATCTCTCTCTCTTTCTTAAAAAAGAAAAGGGGGGTATGGGGGAGGTCACCCAACTTGCATGGGCTTTAAAAAAAAAAAAATGAAAAAGACCAGCAGTTTGACCATGAAGACACTCAGATGTCAGCCAGTCTGCATTCTCCAAAGAGTATTTACCATCTTGCTCTGGTCTTGAAATTTTAACACGTGGATTTAACTTCGTTCTGCCTAAACCACTGCCCCCTCGGTGGGGCCTTTGCCTCTCAAGGCTGAGCCTTATCTTTAACGAGCCTGTTGACCAGCGCTGGGCCAGGGCAGGCCCCAGTCCCTAGAGCCGCACGTGTGGTTGAGTAACTGGGCGCTCACTTTCTCCTGGATCTCACGCAGACTCTGCATCCCTCCGCATGGATTCAGAAAGAAATGGCAGCTTCCCCCCTTATACTGCCCCTGCCTCCCATTCCTGTGTGACCTGCGTCTGGTCGCACAGGACCGTGGGCAAGCCACTTGTGCTCGCAGGGCCTCAGTATCCTCCTCTAGAAAGTGAGCAAGCAAGCTGGCCAGACTAGCTCCAGGGTCCTGTGATGTGATGCAGGCAAGATGGCTCCAGGGTTGAGACAGAACCACTCCTTTTTTTTTTTTTTTTTTAAAGTAGGCTCTGCGCCCATGTGGGGCTCCAACTCACAGCCCCGAGATCATGAGTCGCATGCTCTACCCATTGAGCCAGCCAAGTGCCCCAAACCACCCATCCTTTTATTGCTGTCCCTAAGAGCACCCAGTGCCAGGACTGTGTGTCAGCAAACATCTGGTGAACGAGAAGATGACCCAGGGTAGACTTGGGAGACGTTTTGAATGCAGGACACAGCAAAGAATGTTTTCTAGACCCCAGACACTCCCTCATTAGTGAGCTTAAAAAAAAAAAAAAAAATCAAATGTATGCATTCAGGGCAAGGAGAAAGACAAGTCTGGGGGAGGAGGAAAAAGTCACTGCAGAGGCAGTGACCCCACCCAGGAAATATGACTAACTCAGCTGAGGCTGGGGCAGGCAGAGAGGTCCAACTGCGGCTGGTGAGTGTGGTAGCTCTCCTGGGGCTCTCCTCGCAGGTCCCAGACTCAGAGGCTACCCTGGCCTGCAGCCGGCTGAGACCACTATGGGGAACCCCCCCTCCATCCGGAGTGGACTTTAGCACCCCATGCCCCGCCGGGTGCCAGCAAGAAGCCAAGCTGGCAGCATCCCCTGCTGGGCCCCAGTGCTCGCCCTTCTTCATTGAGGCCAGCTGGCCCCTCAGCACGGTCCCCGCCCGCCCCCCCCACCCCCAGCGGGAGGGGACCAAGCTCCACGGGGGCGGGGGCGGAGCCAGGCGGGGCAGGTGGGCGGGGCAGCCCGGCCCTGGACCTCGGGAAGTGAGAAGCTGGGTGGGGCGGGTTGGGAGGAAGAATCTGAAAAGCAGAAGTGCCAGGAAGGAGCGCTGCGGAAAGGTGAAAGCGGCTGGGTGGGTGAGGGAGAGCCGGCCCCTGGGACTTCAGCCTGGGACCCTCTAACGCGGGCAGGGGAGGGCTGGCTACCAGGGTCTGGAAGCAGAGACTCGCATTTCTGGAAGCCGCTTTGTCCGGGACCGGTGTCCCCCAGCCCGCTGTCCTGGCAGCTTTGTGCCAGGCTCCAGGTACATTTAGAGCCCCACGGCTGCCCCGGAGGAGGGCGGGTTGTGCCCAGGATACTGAGGACCCACTGCTGGGTGAGGCGTGTCCTGCCTGGCCGGAGAGGAGGTGAGGATATCCTGACAGATTTGAGGATGCGGGTCCCTGAGACTGGACTGGCCTGATTGTAGACGGGTGGGCTGCAGTGGTTGCGGGAGAGGGCAGCTCATTTGAATTCAAACTGTAGCACAGCCCATTATTTTGCAAATTCAGTGAGACCTCAGCCCAGGGTCTGCTCCGGAGCCTGGGGTAGAAGAAGGAGAGGAGGAGGGAGGGAAAGGTGGAGGAGGGAAAGAGTAGGAGCTCCACTTGGTGTCAGGGGAAAGAGCACTAGCTAGGGAGTCCCCAGGCAAGGCCTCTGGACCCAGCTCCCCCCTGCCCCCCCGGGAATGCTCGTGTCCCAGGCTGGGGGGACCTGCTGTCATTTCTAGTGTTGACGCTTACCCCTCCACCCTTTCTTGAGGAGTGAGGTAGGGCTGTTTCATTTCACAACTAGAGGCAAACGGACCATGAGGTGAAGGGACCTGTTCGGATCAAAAGTCAGTGTCTGAGGAGGGCGGAGAGAGCACAGGAGGGCAGGCAGGGACAGCTATTCGGACAGTTGTCAAGCATTGCCTTAAAGGTCTGCATCACAGCAGCACCCTCCTCCCCAGGCCCCCCAGGCTGTCCTCAAAGGCGGGATCCTAACAAAGTCAGGGCTGTTGGAGGGCCAAGCCCGTGTGCACCCTCCCCCATTCCTGGCTTCAGGACAGTCTCACTGGATTCCCCAGCCTCTGCTTTCTGGCTCTAGGGCTGTTGCAACCTGTCCCAGCCTGTGAAATCCCGTGCTCTCTTGGGCTCCCGCTGTGCTGCTCTCAGAATCACAGCCTCACAAGTCCTAGGTATCCTGTATGTGCTCTGAGCGCCCGCAGGGTGCCTGGCACAGCGTGGGATTTGTAGCGGCAGAAAAGTTTTCCCTTCTTCCCTTCTAGATTCTGGACTAGTAAATTGATACAAGACAGATTAACGGGAGAAAAACAGAGTTTAATCACGTGTATATACCTCCTATATACTTGGGAGAGACCCAGGAAAACACCTTGAAATGGTTGAAGCCATTAGAAATACCATTAAATACTATCTTATGTTAAAGAAAAAAGATGTTGGGGGTCAGTTACGGGAGGTTACCAGGAAAGGCATAATGAACAAGGGAAAGATTGTTATGAAGATTTAAGTGGCTGCTTCCCCCTTTGATAAGTTGCTACAGTCATACCCGCTCCCTTCCTGATGCTGTGGGGAGACACCCTTACCAAGGGAGATTTCCCTTATAAGTGTAAATGTCTCTTACCAAGGACAACTGCTACTTCGTTTTCAGAATGTTACCTGTGTCTGCTGCTTCTTAAAAATAGCCGGTTTAAAATAATCAACATGCCAAAAAGGCTTATTTTGGGGTGGTCTATTTTGCTCCCCTTCAGGTTCTAGCTATGTTCAGAGAGGCAAAATACTGTCTCTGCCCAAAGGGCCTTTATAGCCTAGTAGGGGAGGTAGGCAGATCCATAACTGAGAGTACTCCGAGAGTGGGAAGAAGCAAAGGTTTTAAGGAGAGAGGTATTTGTGGAAGAGGCTGTCCTGTGAGGTAGTGAGTTCCCCATCAGCAGAAGTGTGCAAGAGGAGGACGGTGAGGGATGCTGTAGAAGAGATTCCTGCACTGTGTACAGGAGTTGGGAGGCAGATGCGGAACAGGATTAGATAAGTATTTAGGCCCCTTCTAACGCTGACATCTGTGATTCTGTGACATTCCCCACCTAGGGGAAGTTTGTGGCGCCACTGGGTGTGATGGCTCCCGACTGCTCTGCCTCCTCCAGGTAGACCATGAGACATGGGTTGTTCTTTCTCATTTCTGTGCCCCCACCATCACTCTGCCCAGTGCCAAGGTCCCAGTGTAGACTTTGTATGGAATTGCACGGAGCCTGTCATGGGCTGTTGGAGGAACACAGGAGTGTCAGTCGAGTCTGCGGCTGTGGCTGAGACGTGAAGCTGTCAGATCATCCTAATAGACAACCTGCAGGTAGAGACTGGAGTATCTGCTCCTGAGTGAGAGGGCTGGGAGTGCTCCCGGAAAAGACTGAGGCTGCCGAACGTCCTGGCAGGCTCATTGGACAGCTGGGGTTTGGTCTGGGCCTGGAGGGTGGTGGGGCTTCACTGGACTTGAGGGTGGGTGTGCACACTGGGCAAGCTCAAGCTGCTGTGGGCTTGGGCAGAGCCGCTGGAAGGGAGAGGTGTCTGATGGCCCCTAGAGCAGAAGATCAAGGGGCAGGGATTTGATGGGATGGCAGGTGTTCCCGCCCCGACCTGAACTTTAGAGTTTCCCTGGGACTTCTCACACGTGCCCTCCATCCCGGCTCCACCCCGAGAACTTTGATTTTAACTGTTCTGGTGTGTGGCCTGGACACTGGGATATTTTTTTGAGCTCGATGATTCTAATGTACAGGCAGGTGTGAGATGCCTTTCTGGCCAGTTAACGGGCAGCAGAGAATCACCTGGAACGTATGTTCAAAATGCAGATGCACAGGCCCCACTCCACAACTCTATGATCAAAATCTCCAGGCCTGGGGCTGGGGCAGCTGTGTTTTTATAAGATCCCAAGCTAATTTGAACAGGCAGGGAGGATGATGAAGAAGCAGGTGGCCAAGTGGGTCCCAGAGACCCGCAGTTCCAATGGGGAGCTGCCTGCTTCTGAGGTATGGCCCGAGCTCCCCGGTCAGGGACAGAAAAGGAAAAATAGTAAAGCTAACAGTTGGCCCTCTTGTTCACACTATCTCTCCCTGCTGGCTGGGGCATGGGACAGCCGCCCCACCATTTCAGACCTGAGTCACAGGCTGAGCGGCCTGTGGCAAGGGATGTGGGCAAGCATGTGACCTTTTGTGGAATGGAGGAACATTAAAGGTTCCCTCCCCCAAATTTCCCCTCACTGCCTCCTGCTTTGGGAAAGAGTGATTCCAAACAATGCCTTCAGCTCTGCTGTGAGTTAGGAATGGAAAAGAAGTCATGATTCCCGTGGTTTTTGACAGCCATTACCACTGCTCCTGTTTTCCCTCCGTTTTCTGCTCAGACTCAATAACCTCTGCTCTCCTTGCCCATCCCCTAAGGATGGCTCTTCGCCCTTCCTGCTTCCCCAGGCCCCAAAAAGCTCCCCATGATGCCCATTTGTCTCTTGACCCTGAAATTCCCCAGGCCCTTACCCTGAGTAACAGATGCTGTTCACCTGCACAGCGTGAATTGTGTTACAGTGCTGGCTAGTGTGGGCTGTGCATTTTAAGCCAAGAAAGAAAAAAAGCTGTGTAGTAATAGGAACATAGGAAACAAATGGTGAGTGAAGCTGTAGCTGTTGCATTTGCTGATTTTTTTAAAAAATAATATATATTTTTGAAATATTTGCCTTTACCATTTCCCTCTTGAGTAACTTGTCCAAAAAAGATTGCTCTCACTGACCTATAGAATAACATGACATTTGAGGTGTGGGGGAGGAAAAATTTCCTCAGTCCCTCAAGGTCCTTCTAGAATCAGGTACATCCTAATTTTCTTTTCTATAATATATTTATCTTGTTTTTTATATCAGGATAATGCTGGTGGCATAGAATGAATTGGGAAAGTTCTCTCCTATTTTCTGGAAAATAGAATCGGTACTTTGTCTTCTTTAAATTTTTGGTAGAATGTACCATGTCTTGGGGGTCGCTTGGGTGGCTCAGTTGAGCATCCAACTGTTGATTTCAGTTCAGATCATGATCCCAGGGTCCTGGGATCGAACTCCAGGTGGGGTTTCCTACCCAGCAGGGAGTCTGCTTCTCCCTTTCCCTCTCTTTCAAAGAAAGAAAGGAAGAATGAAAAGAAAAAAAAAAAAAAAAAAAAAAAA